CTTCTCCTTCATCCTCCTCTCGGGATCTTGGGCACGCACACACATGCGCCCAGCATGAGTTTAAGCCACCGGGTCCGGGACGCGAACCGCGGTCGACTACATGGAAGTCCAGCGACATAGCCATTACGCTAACTGCTGGTCCCAGGCTACCTTACTGTTTCTGAACGTTGCTCATATCTACTATTCCTTCCCTTCCATGCTGCCTTCATCCTAGACCATGGAAACAGCTGCCCTGCTGCGTCGCTGCTCTCCCGGTTGTGTGACAGATAACGGCTTATAACTGTTTCTCACTAACGAGACCCCAGTTTTGTTCAGGCTGTGGCAGTGTGCTCCCTGGGAATGCTCAGCCTCTCGACTTCTCTTGAAGCTACTTCATGGGAAACTTGCCTCCCAGGTTCGGTCAGAGACACAGGTGGAAGTCCCTGGAGTGTACCCTTCCCAAGCAAAGCCTCATGACAGGCTTTTGGCTCTACTTTTTTTTTTCTCTCTCTCTCCTAGGACAGGGAGCGTTATGCCCAGAGATGCGGGAACCGGTCTGCGACCATGAGAACAAAACCAGTGTGCTGAGATCAGTGGGATGGTGACCCGAGAGAGCCTGCTTGTGAGACCGCATGGTGAAGTCAGTACCCGGCCTACACTGTTTTCCTTCAGCTCTCCCGTCAGATAAGAAAAATAAACCCCTGTGCGTCTTGACCTGAGTATCCTCTGGACTGTTTATTACCTAACTTTCAGGCAGGTTTAACATTTTTCTTTTTTCTTTTTTTTTTGAGAGGTTTTTGTTATAGGGCGTGTGCGCTCGCCAGACAGACAGACAGAGACAGAGAGACAGAAAGTGAGAAATCCCCCTCCAGGGGCGGTGGCCATGCCACAATCCCTGCTCCATTCTCCTCTCAGGATCTTGGGCACACACGCACACGCACCCGGAGTGAGTTTTAAGCCACCAGGTCCGGTACTCGAACCGCAGTCGACTATGTGGGAGTCCAGTGACATAGCCATTACGCTAACTGCTGGTCCCAGGCAGGTTTAAATTTTTTCTAAACTACAAATAGGGGATGAAAAGAAACCTATAAGTTAGAGGGAGAAGGTAAAACTCATCATCTGTAAATATTGTTACATTTCTTATCCAGTGTGTGAAAAATTATTTGGATGATCCTTTAGCAAATGTGAAGATATTTCAAAAAGTGTGAAAGAATGTAATTAAAGTATGAGTTTATTTTGGTGCAAGAAAATGAGAAATCCATCATTTTTTCATAATTCACATTTTCTATGCACTTTTTGAAGACCCCATTGTATTATGATCTATCTTATTTTACTTATCTATTTATTTCTAGCAAGATTTTTGCTATAGGGTGCATGTGCTTGCCAGAGAGACAGAGAGATACAGAGAGAGAGAAAAAGGAAAAAATCGCCCCATGGGGGAATGGCCACAACCACAATCCCTTCTCCTCCAGTCTCCTCTCGGAATTTTGGGTATGCACACACATGTGCCTGGAGTGAATTTCAAGCTGCCAAGTTCGGGACTTGAACCATGATCGTCCATGTGGGAGTCCAGAACCTTAACCACTATACTACCTGCTAGTTCCACTTATTTTAAAACTTTTAACTGTATAGTTTTATTTTTCCTGTTAAAGGCAACACACACACACACACCTACACACACACACACACACACACACACACACACACAGAGTCCTTCCAGAGATGTGGAGAACATTTGGTTGTGGTGACACTGTGTTGTGGCAGTGTGACAGGGGTGAACCCATTAGTGAAAGGCCAGTCACAACCAATCAAGAATCAATAGCTCAATGAGAACTACTACCACTCCACTTTAAATTTTCCCTAAGAGTCAGATATTATACTTGTTAAGTATTGAAACACTTCAACGCTCTGCATTACACTTTTTCAAAAAAGTATTAACAGTAGTGTCATTCCTTTTTTGAGGGAACTTCTTCCTTTTTAGGGATACATATTTACCAAGGAAGTGAGGTGATGTGTCAGATTCACTTCAAGATAATCAGAGAGGGGAACCAGCAGTTAGCATAATGGCTATGTCACTGGACTCCCATAGTCGACCGCGGTTCGCGTCCTGGACCCGGTGGCTTAAAACTCAAGCTGGGTGCATGTGCGTGCGTACCCAAGATCCCAAGAGGAGAACAGTGGAGAAGAGATTGCAGTGTGGCCATCCCCCCAGGGGGTGATTTCTCGCTTTCTGTCTCTCTGTCTTTCTCTGTCTGTCTGGCAAGCACACTCGCCCTATAGCAAAAAACAAAACAAAACAAAACAAAAACAAAAACCTCTTAAAAGATAATCAGAGAGGAAGTGGGTCAGGGTATGGAGGAAACAAGACTGCGCATAAATTTGTAGTCGTTGAAGTTGGGTGGTGGGTAAGTCTTTTTGAAATTATTCCCTTAGGAAAAATGCCCGGGACTGAGGTTACCAGCTGGAGGATGGAATGTCGAAGAGTTTTTAAAAAGAGGCAAAAGGCTTGCTAATTTCAGCAAAAGATAATCAGAGAGGAAGTGGGTCAGGGTATGGAGGAAACAAGACTGCGCATAAATTTGTAGTCGTTGAAGTTGGGTGGTGGGTAAGTCTTTTTGAAATTATTCCCTTAGGAAAAATGCCCGGGACTGAGGTTACCAGCTGGAGGATGGAATGTCGAAGAGTTTTTAAAAAGAGGCAAAAGGCTTGCTAATTTCAGCCCCTATATGGCCTCAAAGGGCACTAATGAAGGATGATATTAGTGGACCAACAGGTAGTGTGGTGGTTAAGGTGCTAGACTCCCACATGGCTGACCATTGTTTGAGTCCCGGACCCAGTAGCTTGAAACTCATGCCGGGCACGTGTGTGTGCGTGCCCAAGATCCCAAGAGGAGAATGCAGAGAGGACTGCAGTGTGGCCATACTTTGGCCATACCTTCATGGCGAGCACACGCACCCTATAGCAAAAACCTCTGTCTTAGAAAAAAGGAGAAGGGGGACCAGCGGGTGGCGTGGTGGTTAAGGCGCTGGACACTCCCACATGGCTGACTGGGGTTCGAGTCCTGAATCTGGTAGCTTGCTTTCTCACTTCCTCTCTTTGTCACTCTCACCCTCTGTCTCTCTCTGGTCAAATTAAAAAGTAAATGAATGAATAAATAAAAAATAAATCATTATCAAATTTAAAAAAAGGAGAAGGATGATGTTAGTAAAATAAGAATTTTTAGTATAAAACAGTGCTTAGAGCCAACCCAAGCCTTCTTGACTCTGCGTTGCCCCTGTCCCGTCATCAATACCCCCAAAACGCTAAGTGTAGTTGACTCCATTGCCCAAGCCCCACTTTAATCCACGCTCTTCTCCCTAACCTCCTGCTGCTGCCTGGTTGAGGCCAACAAAGCTGCCTTCCCCTTAGGTGCTGAAGCAGCCTTGGAACTGGTGCCCCTGTCCTGGGCCTTCTTGCTCCTGAGTCCATTCTCTGCCCAGAAGTCACAGTGATTTTTCCAAAGGGCAGATTGGGCATGGTGATCTCCTATTTAAATAAACACTACAATGCCAGCTTAAAAAAAGGGGGTCAGCTGATGGCGTGGTGGTTACATTGTCTGGACTCCCACATGGCCGACTGTGGTTTGAGTCCTGGACCTGGTGGCTTAACTCACGCCAGGCGCATGTGCGTGCGTGCCCAAGATCCTGAGAAGAGAATGGAGGAGAAGGGATTGCAGCGTGGCCATCCCCCCTGGGGATTCTTTCTCACTCTCCCTCTCACTGTCTCTCTCTCTCTCTCCTGTGAGTACATGTGCTCTAAGGCAAAAACAAAAACAAAACAAAACAACACCAGAAAAGGGGCCAGGAGGTGACATGGTCGTTAAGGTGCTTAAATTCCCACACAGCTGACCACAGCTCAAGTCTTGGACCTAGGGCAACTTGACAGTCATGCTAGGCACATGTGTGTGCATGCCCAGAATCCCAAGGGGAGACTGGAGGAGAAGGGAATGCAGTGTGGCCATCCCCCTAAGGGATGATTTCTCACTCTCCCTCTCTCTGTCTCTCTCCGGTGAGTACATGCACCTCACAGCAAAACACATGCACACAGAAAAGCACATATCACGTGATCAGATGATTTATATCATAATCAGATTTTTTTTCATAGAGGTTTTTTCTTTAGTTGCTGGAGAAAGAGAAAGACAGACAGTGAGAGGGAAAGTGAGAAATCACCCCCCAGGGGGGATGGCCACACCACAATCCCTTCTCCTCCATTCTCCTCCTGGGATCTTGGGCATGCACACACATATGCCCAGTGTAAGTTTCAAGCCACCAGGTCCGGGACCTGGTTGGCCATGTGGGAGTCCAGTGGTGCAACCACTATGCCATCTGCTGGTCCTATAATCAGATATTTTAATAAATAGTTATAGCACAAAGGCCCGTCTGGTTCCCAGATCTAGAAACAGAATTTTGCCAGCATCCCAGGGGCCCATGTATTCCTTCCTAATCTCAACCCCATCTTCCTGGAGGCGATCACTGTATTTTCCTTGATTTTATTATCTAGATATGATCCCTAGATGTTAATTTTGTCTGTTCTTGAGCTTGTTTTGCTGTATAATAAAATAACGAATACCACAATGTATTTGATCCATTCTATTATAGATGGACATTTGGGTTATTGCCAACATTTTGCTATTGAGAATAACTGCAAAACAAGATTGGGGGTTACAGCATTTTCACAGAAACACAAAAGTAGAGAAGGGATGGTCTGACTGAACCCTCATGGAACCCCTCGCATCGTCAACCGTTATCCACAAGGTTCTAAGTTTTAGGCCTGCCATGTAGAGTGTGAAGTAATTATTTTTAAAAAATAAATAAAATAAATAAATTCTCTCTCCAAATATTGCTCTTTGGTAAGAAACCAAAACAACACACTAAAAAAAATGTCTAAAGTTTCGTTTTATGTACTTACACCTGATCTCAGTCCAAAATTTGAAGGCTAATTTCAGATATCCCCTGTGAGACAATGAAAAAGATGGAGCTCCATGCTGCAGAGGAAATACGCTGCTTCAGAGAAGCCAGATCTCACGTGGTCACCATGGTTCGAATCCCTGGCCCGGTTAGCCTGAAACACGCCAGGCATGTGCTCGAGTGCCCAGGATCCACTAGGCTGGAGGAAGGAGCTGGTACGATGAGCAGATCCCATGGAGGGTGCTCATCTCTCTCTCACATGTACATGCACACCCTCTACTATGAATAAAGGAGAAAACCCCAAACACTCCCCATATGCCTTTGCGGCCGCACCTGGTAGGAATCACTATTCCAATGGCTCCCTGTTGCCCTCAGAAAAGCCCAGATTTCTTTTTTTTTTAATTTAATTTTAATTTAAATTTATTTCATTTTACTTATTTAGTTTTTTTTTTTTTTTTAAAGATCTTAAACTGGAAAATAACAATGATAATAATAATAAATAAAGTTAGATAAAAAAATTCTTTAAAAAAATCTTCTTTCTATCTTTACATTTTTTTAAACAAATTACTTTATTTTAACTTTATTTATTTTATTTATTTTAATTTGACCAGAGAGAAACAGAGAGAGAGAAAGTGAGAAAGCAAGCCACCAGGT